TTTCTTCTTGCGCTTCAGCAGAAATAGTTGCTAAATTTCAATCTTGTTACACAGGTGTCACTGGGGACATTATTTGCAGACAAAAGGGGTCTAATCTAGCCTGCAAAAGTTTCATTTATTTACTGGTAATGATGAATAAGATGAAAAGAACCCAATTTGATCCAGAGCACAAGCTGACTTGGCTTGGTTGATAGTTAGAAAAAACATTTTTTGTACTTGTAAAATAGGTATGTTTGATCTGGAGTGAGTTAATCAGCAAACATGGAACTCCAGGATGCCATTTGAAAGTGCACTCAGAACTCCGCTTCAAATAACTTTTCAAGATGGCTTTCTGTTTTTTGGCTCAGCAATGAAATCCCAAATTTACCAAAGGAAAGAGATTCTGCATCTTTTAATGAAAGATAAAACAACAATATAAACATACACAAATTTACAGAGAAAGGATCAACTTTAATACATTTGGATTAAAAGGTGTTCTTTTTTTAAATATGGTATAAAAATAAATGCAAGAAACATTAACAAAGAATATACAGACAACAGACAAAGACACAGGCTTTTTTTCTCAGTGTGAATACGTCAGTGAAATGGAACCTGCTGTGCTAATTTATTGTGCAATAAATGTGATACCATATGTATATTTATTAGTATATGCATATTTTTTTTTACATTTCTTCCAGTTTGTGAACTGACAGTATTTTTTAATAAACTGTGTCTAGCAGAAGCTTTTTTTTCACTGTACTTGAGCTTGCAGAAAATAAAATGACACAGATCCAGCTTGATATGAAGGAGGAAGTGAGCAGACAATTTTCAAAATGGAGGCATCGAAAGGTTAGAGAGTCCCTCGGAGTCTGTAATGCCTTAGTATACACAAAAGAAAACAAGTCAGGTCCTTGCTCATGCAACATCTTGTTCTACTGTCCTCTGATTCAGGCAATCAGTGAGCTACAAAGTATGTATAATGATTTGAGTCTGCTTCCATGCTACAAGGATGATCCTTTTAGTAGGACTGCACTAGACTGGTTAACCTCTTTGAAGTGAGCGATTTCCCCTGAGGAAAAGATAAAAACAAAAAACAGAAAACAGAGGCATGATCACTGAAAACCTATTCATCAGCAAGCACCTAGCAATTTCACAGTGATGTGGCAACATTATGGGGGCACCAATGGGAGTTAGTGTCAAAACTTAAATTTGGAAAACTTTTTTGCTTTCTACTTTGAACACCTGCAGAAACCTGAATCCAAAACTGCCAACAGAGAGATTGTTTTGCACAATAATCCAGAAAATTATAAACTACACAGTAACATCCAAAATGATCTATTTGTACTTAGCAGCAAGTCTATGGCTTAAAATAGCTTCAAGAAGGCTACTACAATACAACATGCCTCAGAATGCATTGAGATGAATGTTCTGAACTGCAGTGATTCCAGTCCAAGAAGTTACATAATCCACTCTGAAGGGTGGCTAAGTGCAGAAGGCAGATTATACATTGAATACAAATAGGAAAACATCCTTCCTGTGAGCTAAGCTAAAGTTGTTGTTTTTTGGGGGGGAGGGGAGGAATATTCCTACTGTTTACAAGCATTGTACAGGTACATAACAGGTGCCCATTTACAATGCTTTGAGGGCCCATGGAGTCCATTTCTTTACTTTGTTAAGAATTCTTGCTGATATAAAGGTATATTTTGGCATCTTAACTAACTCTGGTAATAAAGTGGAATGAATGCCCCCAGGAATTGGATCTAGAGTGCAGGAGAGGAAATCTACAATGCAGCATAACTAGTGAAAGTCTGCTGCTACTCACAGAAAGAGCAAGCAGATTTCACAGAGAATACGAGAAATGGGAAAAATCAAAACTACTGTTAAAAATATAGAATTTGTCTGAAATTACATGGCAAACAAGCCTCTTTTTGTCATGTCAGTGAAAAGCTATTTCTGTTATGTTTGCTGTATTATTATTACTCATCTGACTTACATAAATAGATCTGATGTTGATATCTATATTCACCATAAATTCAATTTTCCCCTCACAGGGATTCATAACTCAACTGTAAACACTTGCTGAAATATGATGCATCAGCGTATCAACTGGAGTGGATTTTCACAAAAATGAAATAAAATAACTCTTACTTTTAGAAGTACAAAGAACAGAACTTTCAGTAGATCTGGATGCAATTCCCCTCCCCCCCTATTTGTTTTTAACAGAACACATGATCTGCCATGCTGGATTAGAGGCCATCAATATGCTGCCTCTGACAGTAAAACTAGTTGGTACTTTAGAAGAAGACAAGTCTGCTCCCAACTACTCTCTCCTATCTCTACCTCCAGCCTCCTCACTCACTCACCCATATCCCATTTTACAGTGCTTAAATTGCACATGAAGCAACCATTTTATGCAACACTTTCAATGCACATGTCCACTCTCACTGTTCCAGATTGCAGATTACATAAATTGGTCAGCAACTAAACTAATCTAGGAAATGTTTGACTTGTTTCTGCCAATAAGCTATTTAAAACAAACGTTATTATATCTGAGGGTATGTCTACACTACCGCGGTAGTTCGACGGCTGGCAATCGAACTTCCGGGTTCGATTTATCGCGTCTGGTCTGGACGCGATAATTCGAACCAGGAAGTGCTCGCCGTCGACTGCGGTACTCCACCTCAGCGAGAGGAGTACCGCGGAGTCGACGGGGGAGCCTGCCTGCCGCGTGTGGACCGCGTCTGAACCGCGGTAAATTCGAACTAAGGTATGTCGACTTCAGCTACGTTATTCACGTAGCTGAAGTTGCGTACCTTAGATCGAATTGGGGTGTTAGTGTAGACCAGGCCTAAGTTACAAATTTATTTTGCACTTGTACATTCAACGTATTCACATTTTTAATATTTTTGTGGGTGCTGCAATTAATCTGAGATTGAGTCCCTAATATTTAAGCTTTAAGCACATGATTAAGTTCTTTTTGGAATTGGGGCTGAAAGTTAAGTGGTCTCAAAGAAGTGACAAATCTGTCATTGCCCAATAATGAAATTAGTTTGTAACTGAAATTTTAAGTCTCATGCTTATTTATTTATAAATATAATTCTCTTGGGTGAGTGATTATTCTGACTTTATTTGGGTGGGGTCTGTCTCTTTGTTAAGACTTGAGAAAAAAGTTTTTCCCAGACTGCAATTTATAACCCATAACGTTACATTGTTTTCACTTCTTTTCTTTTTAAGGAGGCAAGGAATGTCACATCAGTTGTATGATAATTAGATGGATAATTTAAGGAGAGATTTTCAAAGGAGTCTAAGAAAGTTCTGCACCCAACTCCCATTGAATTTCAATAGCATTTGGATAGCTAACTCCTTTAGGCTGATTTGAAAATCCCTGCGAAATACATAAGCACATGCTTAACTTTGATTTTTATGAAATTATTCATGTGCATATTGTTAAGCATGTATTTAAGTATATGGATTGGTGCATATGGGCTTTGCAACTTTCTGAATACATATTCATTCAGAAGATCTTGAGATAATGAAATCCCTGCTGTGAAGTCTGTCACTAGGACATTAATTTGCACAACAGTGCACTCTCCTGAACAAGGATCCGAGAAAACTACACAGATCAGCAATTGTCAGCACTGTGACAAAGCATTTGTTATAACATCAGACAACAGAAGATTCTTACTCAGCTTTTAGCTGCAAATACCATACTAGGCACTAGCACTAGGTTTTTGAAAGTTTCGAAGTTTGTGAAATGTTCAATGAACTAGGGCCAAGTTCTGATCCCTTTCCTCTCCAGTGGTTTTGGGGAGGTATTTATGATATCTTGTAAAAATGAGGCAATTTTGATTCAAAAGCAGGCAAACAGTGGCAGTTTTGATTAAGTTACTTTGAATTTTGAGACATGCACAATCCATTACATGCACTATTTTAAATTTGCTCCATAGATGCGGTAAGTGGTTATGACCAGTTTTTAGTATTTACAAATTAGCTTTAAATTAAAACAGGAAAGTTGAACATACTACAGATTCGCACAACAACAAAGGTGAGTGATGGAAAAGACTCTCTATAGCATTAATTCCCTCCATCTTGTTCCCCTAGTATGTTTTCCAATCTTTTGGCCACTCTAGCTTTCAAATTTCCAAGCAATGGGGACTATTCTAACTGCTTAAAAATATGAAATGTGGCAATGGTAGCTGAACAATGTGCATGAAACTTCACGTGTCCCATTCTAGAAGATGGCAAGAGATCTACTTTACAATTAAAATGTGGTTCTGGTCAGAAAAGAGGCTATTTAAACATGGCAGCTTCTTATTCAACAGATCTGCTTCCTTTGTGCATTTGGAATCATATCTGTGCACTTTAGTGTGAAAACAAGATTTAACTACATTCTATTTATATTAATGTATGGAGCCAAAGCAGCTAAGAGAGAGTTGGATTGCATTCTGGCTGAGACATCAAACAAAGCTAATAAGTTCCAGTTTGAAGGATCTTTACCTCAAGGTCTAGAAAGCTGTACACCTCAAATCCATTCTAAAGTGTACTTCTATTCTGAAAGTTAACTATTTAAAAATAGCATGGTAGGGTTTTATATTTACTGCCTCTCAAGGATTTCCAGATGTGCTCAATTTACAAAAAAGTTGTTTTTAATCTAGATGTCACCTCTCCTAAATCATCCAGTGAACAGACAGTCAAGTTGGGCTCTTTTTTTCTTGTGCATCATCACTGTAATAAAGGTTCTGCAGGCCAAATATGATCTAAGTGACACCTGTGCTTCTTCATTAACAGTGTGTGAGTACCACAGGTGTAACTGATTGGAATTTAGTAAACAATTCTGTAGATGAAGCACAAAAAGGAATAGAGTGCAGCTCTCTCTTTCTCTCTCTGATATATTTACCCTTGGGGTGCTAACAGAGGTAAAAACAATAGAAAATTGTGCGAGTCACAAAAATCAACAGATATGCTTCTGAATACTTACAGGCAACACAGCTGTTGAGGAACAAGATGATACTGATACATAGTTACTTTTCAGAGTAGTACTCTGAGGCCCATATCTGAACTTTTCCAAAAGTGAGAGGATGTTCTAATCCATCAATTTTGTCTGCGCAGATGTAACTGAGAGAAGAATGTTGCCCTGCAATTCGAATCTAGATAACAATTCTGTTATAATGGACATGCTAAATCAGAATCCAGCTCAAATGCTGTGTTGGCTTTCGAAGGCTAACAGAATAGAGAGTAGAAATATTGGCAGAGTGAGCAGGTATAATTCTGAATACACACAGGCAGCAGATGTGCTGATTAAGGTGCTAATGTTTTATGTAGTTACTTTTCAGAGTACAAATGTACTTTAAAGTAGATAGAGAAAATTACACAACCAGCTAAACCAAGTAAGCAATATTAGGAATTATTTAGGGCCAGAAAGAAACATATAAAATCATATCCAATTAAACTCCATATTAGAACTGACAACACACTGATTTACTTACATAGCACCGCACTAATGTCTCAAATAACTCACAAACATGCCAGCAACAATTTCAGTAAAACACTTGACTTGTTTATACAAGCCAACATTAAAACTCCATATGAGCTGGGGCTGAAACACACGGACGAGGAATAGTAGAGGGAACGGAGAAGATACATGTTTAACCTTTAAAAAGGTTAATTTTCATCATTTCTGCTCCTGTTGAGCAAGCCCAACAGCCCCTTTTTATGTTTTTTTCATTATTAGAGCAGATGCTACGCAGTTGCATCAATATCTCTAGAGCTACTAGGAATAAAAACGCCAAGCGTCTAACTGTGTAACAGATGCACAATATGCACACTGGCGTGAACATAATGAGATCAAGAAATTTTACCAAACCCTTTGCTCTCACAGTTATTCATCTGCTCATGTGTTGCACACCTGTGGCATGCTGGCAATATGGCTGATTTCAGCATGAGAAACTCCCAAGTGAAATCCCAGCTTTCTACAAATAAAGGCTTTATTTGTTAGGAGTAGGACATCTGGAGAGATCAAGGAGTGCAGAGTAAGACTCAAAGAAATACTTTTGTAGGCTTTAGCCAGCTTTTATTTCCCTTAATGTGACTTTCTGGGCCAAAAATCCTTCCCCATCTTCCACAGATGGCTATGCCTGCAGTCGCACGGGTATGCTTCTGCTTCAGGAAGTAGGAAGAAGATTTATAGAGCTTGTACAAGCATTCTCACACAACAGTGGTACCAAGGAGCCCAATAGGCTTTGTAGGAGGTGTGGGATTCAGGGCAGGGTCAAGATTCTTCTTGCCTTCAACCTCTTGTAAGGATTTGCACTCCTATGGCTAGGGAGAAGGAAAATGTATGATCATGGCCAAAGATGTGGCTCCACTCAGACCACCTCCGACGGAGGTGACTAATTGATAGAGTGAATAGGGGAGGAGCAAATGGCTCTTAGCGTGAGTGGCTTTCCCGGTTTTGCTATCTCCCCCCATTTTTCCACTGTCTCTGCCGCTTTGTGTTTCTCCTTTTATTCTTTCACTAGTGGCTCTTTCCTTCAACGAAACTTCAGGCCTTCCCTAGACTGGGACCTAGGAGAAAGGTTGACATGCTGAACAGTTGAAGTGTGGGGTAGACAATAAATAAGGCTTAGAGGGTAACATTTTCAAATGCTGCCTAAGTGACTTAGAAGCCTAAGTTCTCGAGAGAGTCACTGGCTCCTAAGTCACTTGCATACTTTTGAAAATTGTACCCAGGGTTTGTGTGTTAGTTTAAAATGGGACTGATTTGTGAATTGATTTTATTTTTTCTGAGACTGCAGCAGTGACCAATGGGGTGGGAAAGAGGGGCAATCACGTGTTATTGAAGGCTGGCACAACAGGGAGAGATGGAGGCAGTGGCTACATAAAGTGAAGCACCTTTGAGCTGCTAGGTTCTAGTCATTTGTATCTCAAACCTAACCTGCCAAATATGGTCCTATTAATCTGTTTGGGACAAATCCTGGAGCCAGGCATAACTTCACTAGGAATGGAGTAAGATATTGCTCTTTGTTTATTTTGGTTAATTGTTGGCGGAGCTGGGCAGGAAATGCTATGCATGATTTTGAAAATATTTCCTGAAAGTTGAAATCTTTAAAATCTTGAACCAAATTTAAAAAAAAAATGGTTTGAGTCAATCAAAATGTTTCATTTCAATAACTGTGAAATGGTTTGTTTAGATTTTGACCACATTTTGTTTTAAAATATTTTCATTTATGTATGTATATATTTTCAATATTTAGCTTAAATTTTGAAACAAAAAGTAATTTTGAAGCAGAAAACCAGAATTTGTGGTTTAGAAAATGTCCGAATGGAATTTTTTTGACAATGTTGGAGTTGTGGAGAGATGTTAAGAAATGCATAGAAACCAACACTTTCCCCTAAAAAGTTTCCGTTTTGATGAATTGGCTAACTTCGTTTTCTAACAAAAAATATTTCACTGAAAGATTCCCGAACAGCTCTAATTGTTGGTAGTAAACTAGTACATTTTAATTTTCAAAATTGGTTTCTGGGAAGACTTACTCAATAAGTCTAACTTAAAAACCTCACATAGTTCTGTCTTGGATTCATAATGTCCAATGATTGAGGTTCCATTAAGTTCCTTTCATTGTTACATATGAAATCTTACATGTTCATGGACAAAGATCCCTTAAGAATGAGAACATGAAGAATCAATTACCATTTTCACATCTATTGTCTAACATGGTCCTAAAATGATTGGATGTAAAACCAGCTCTAAGAACACAGAAAGTCCATCACTCACTGATGGAAATAAGTGTGAAGGACAGTTTAAACAATCTGAATTTCCTTCTGTATGCCACAATTTGACACGTCAATGCTAAGTGATAGTTTGTTGAGCCATTGTGAAAATATGCTGTGTTTAATGGTCCTGACAATTTCACATCTCATGCATGAAGTACTCTAATGTTTGCTCATTGGGCTGGAGATGATAACGTCAAGGGACACTGGTAAATATGCCTATTAGGCAAGCAGGAGTGAATGTCTCAGGGCTTTAGCACTGAGCCCTATAAAACTTCTGCTCAAGTCACTGGTTCACATCTCACCTAATAGGTAGTGAGTGAAGGTTACTATCATCTGACGGCTGCTTGGTATACTATATGAACTGAGTTTGGTGATGTTTGTTTTGTCATGGATGTATATACACATAACAAAACAAAGACCAACCTGCAACTTGTACACTTCTTGGCTGTCTCTGCAGTGAGGCGATATAACTCACTGGATGTGGAGATAAAACTAGCCTATTACCTTAAAGGAAATCCCTTCAATTTTGACTTCAGGGACATTGAACACAGCAGGGTGCGGGAAGCTGGCACTGCCCATAGATGGAAAACATCAGTAAATAGGCTGTCAGTCCAGCACCTTTCATGAATCCTAAATTTCTGTGAAAAGTTAAAAAACAGAAGTCGTCCTTCAAGGACTTCTCTCCTATCCTGCCTCTTAGGTTTATCTGTGCTCCTTTACATAGCAACAAATGTGTATAGATATTTTTTTTGTTTCTACACTTACATTTATTACCAGAGCTGACTGAAATTTCATGACTTAAGTTTTATATGATCTTTTTTTCATAACATGTTTAATATCCAATGAAAACATCCACGAAAAAATTTGATTAGAAATTTCATAGAAAAAATTGTTGCGATCTGATGGTTTTTTACATTATTTTTTTTAATTCCCACAAAAATGTGTCACAGGTGTTTCAGCCAGTTCTATTTATGATATTTGAACGGAAATAGGATAGGATTTAAATACACTGCTGAAGTCCTACAAAAAGAGTGAACATATATATGTTATTCCAGGGAACTTCTAGGCTGGCTTTGAAGTTGGGGGACTTCGACATTGCAATCAAACATGCAGCTGGCGAAGCCTTCAGACAGCACACTTATTGCTCACACACATCTGACATATTGCATTATGGGGGGAGTCAGGGTCAAGCCCAGCCAGCTAAGTTGAGGTAAAGATGTTAACCTACATCCACACTATGGAAAGATCATGGTTATATGTTGCGGTTAGTTAACACACATTAGCTAGCTTCAACCTAACCTCAGCCTCTTTTTCTGATCTAGAAAAGCCCCTCCCTCTCCTGCATGGATTGTTCTCTTTGCTGGCGGCCAACTATCTCTTCATCCCTCTTTGCTCGAGTTACAGTAAGTTTGTAGGTTTGCTATTACTCACTGCCCCAGTGAGCAATGTGGTGCTTTGCTCATAATTCCCCTCCACACACAGAGACTTCCCTCAATAGGCTGTAACCTTACAATCTACCTTGTCTAGGGAGTGTTACATTGTTGCATCTCCCCAGGAGCAGATCAGAGAACAAGTCCTGTCTCAGTCACAATTCCTCTCTTGCTCTGGGAGGCAGAGTAAATTAGCTACTTATAGAATCCTAGGTTTAGAAGGGACCACAAGAGACATCTAGTCTGACCCCCTGCCAAGATGCAGGATTTCTGTCTAAACCATCCTGTTCCATTGTTCTACTGCTTTTGGTGGGGCAGCTGCATGCCCCTTGTCCAGCTAGAGTATATCTACACTGCAGCTGGGAGAGAGCTTCTCAGCCTGGGTAGACAGACACGCTAGTGGGGTGCGAGCTAGTATGCTAAAAATAGTAGTGTTGATGTTGTGGCTCCAGCGGAGATTCAGGCTACCCACTTGAAATCAGACTCAAGGGGTAGGGTGGGCTTGAGACCCTGTGCTGCAACGTCCTCACTGCTATTTTTAGCTCTCTAGCTCTAACCCTGTTAGCAGGAGTCTGTGTACTTGGGCCGGGCCGGGCAGGCAAGTGGAGGTGGGAGGAGCCAAAGGTTTTCCCACTCTCTGAGTCCTCTCCACCACCCTGCCTGCCTATGGGACCATAATAGGGGTATCAGGCAAATAGAACCTGCTTTTCCCACTGTGGCCACATCATAATCTGAGCAGCTCCACAGGGGGATAGAGAGGCATGCATGGCTGAGAAAGATCTGTGATCATCTTGCCTGTAGCTACTATTCCAAATCCATGCACATGCCTAAACTGAACATCTACATGTCACTTCATTTTCAGTGTGCTGCAATGTATTTCTGCAGAGTTATTTGGGAGTTCTGAGAATACAAAGGCAAAATAAAGAGAATAATTTTGCCTTTTTGCTATTCATTTCTATACACTAGTAAAATGTATTGTGAGCAGTAACAAATGCCACATTTATATAGAAATCTTTTCACCATGCTATTATTGTGTCTGTATAGTGCACACCTTTATGGCATTATTGATTGCTATTTATCTATAATAGAGAATACCAGAGGGTTATAATTTTGCAGTGATGAAGTTTATGTGGCAATATAAACATGCTGAAATCTATAGCTCATCAATATTTGATGGCATGTGGTGCATTAAGGATTTTCACAAAATGAACTGAATTACTGAGAGCTTTCTAGAAAGATTTTTTTACAGTGTCCAAGAAATACAAAATTGAATTTAGCTTTTCTGTCCTTTATTTTTTTAATTTTTGTTACATGGCAAGAAAAAGGAATCATTCTGTTACAGAAATAACTATACTGAGTAATGAAGGGAAAATCTCAAGAGACCTTTCTGACTTAGCAAATGCTTTTGCAGGCAAGTGTAACCCAGAGTGAGTCTCTGTCCTTCCCTATGGTCCTTTAAGTGCAAGTGTTAGAGGGCCATGCTTTTAGCTCCAGAGTTCTGGGGTACAGTCCCCACAGACAATCCAGCCAGGGTACTGTTATACAAATATATCAATTTGTAAACCGACGGGTGCTAGTTTGCAAAATCCAGAAGTCCTCATTCCACTTTTCATTCTACCTGCCTTACTCATACAGTAGCACCTTGCTACTGAAGTAGTTACATTGAGGTCAATGCATTGAAGTCACTGAGCCTGCTTGAAAAGTAGGGTACTACTCGCCTTGAGTAAAGATGGCAGAATCAGGCACCTGGGAGTAGTTTCAAAAGGGGTGTAGGTGCCCAAGCCTAACATTTAGACACCATGGGTATTTACAGCACCTAAGTCCCCCTTATGAATCCATGTAGCCCTCAGTCTTTATCTCAAGCAAAACTACCACAAAAGTCACTGAGAGTGAGGACATCAGAATTTGTCCCCATAGGAGTCTTTATGGAAAAAGAAAAACACACACACAGTCTAACCGGCAAAGCTAAGACCTGAGTTAGGAAGTCCTCCTGGTTTCCAATCCAGTCACGATCACTGATGTTCTAGGTGATGGGACTATGCCTAAAACTTTTTAGGGCCAAATTTCCAAACAGATGCCTTTGCTGGGCATGGAAACTATCCATGTGCATTGCACACACAAACAGGACATTGTACATGTAAATATGGGCAGCTGTGCTCACAAGTGAGCAACTGAGTGCACAAGTACTCCCATTAGCCAGCAACAAGTCCAGATATGTCTGCGCTGTTACTGTTCAGCGTGTGTGCATGTGTACTACACAGTGGCAACTGAAATGCCTGTGTTTGAATATTTGGTCCTTTTTAGGTCAGTAGACACAGTTGATACTAGCAGGACCTCCCTTAAAATTGATGCTGAGTTGAGTTTTTCTGAGTAAAAAAGAGATACCACAGACGATAGAATCATATTGCAAATATAAAGCTCTCATTTTAGGGGCAATTCTGTGAGTTGCCAAGAGTTTGCTGTTTACAATGGGAGTTGAGGGTTTCGGCACCACACAGGAGATTTTCAGCACTTTGCAGAAATGGGCCTATCCGGAACCTTCTTACATCCTGGTAGTGGTGAAATAAGAAGAGTACTAATACTTTATTCCCACTCCCATTACTCAGTAACAAGCCAGGACAAAAAAAGGACCAAATACCTATATCAAGGCAAAATGCTAAACACACAGCTGGGAAGACTTTGTCACCCTCTTAAATTCTAGCCAACTACTCCATTATTCCACCCATTCTTTCCTCACTTGCTCCCCTTTAGTGCTATATTCACCCCCAAATCTTCCCCTGCCCAGACTCTCTTCCCCTTACACTCTTTCCTTTATGCGCCACCTTTTTTTTTTATTGTTCTTACTCTATCTCAGAATTGTTATTACTTAATGCAAATTTCCCAAATCATTCTGTGGCATCTACCTTGTTCTAGGGTATAGGGTGACAAAGTTCGAAAGACAAAACTCATTACAGGGGGTGGAGGGTAGGAGGAAAAGTGAGAAGAGGAGATACATATAGAGTTAGAATGAATACACTGCAGAAAAGTTAAAATTTACTTTGGGTAACATTCTTCAGCGATTTACTGTGCATTAAATTAAACATTCTATTCCATATTTTATCTGGGTTTTATCTGTATATTGGACATTACATATTATATTATATATTATTATCATATATTAGCAGTGACAACTAAATTTTCTTCTCAACAGCACTAGGCAGACTGAAATAATTTCATCTGCACTGGGCCACCTTTGGTTCAAAACTCCCATAGTTATCCCAGTTATTGTAGGTTGCCACTGGTTGATTAGGAAAAGTCTAGCTCTCAAAAGTCAGTATGTTGTCATTGTTCCCATGTTTTCTTTATTAGTGCAGCCTTGATTATATAAGACAGGAACTCCTATTAAACATCTCAGTGAAAGAAAGTATGAGTGTTATGTTATAAAGTTGTTTTATAGAACAATCTCTTTAGACAATACATAAATCACAGTGAAACATGCTGTGGCAACACCACCATGCAAAAAATAGGGGTTTTTGTTTCAAACTTTTTGTTTGTTTCATAGCTATTTATTCATTTTTAATGAGTTTTACCTAACAACTTTTACCTGGACTTTTAGTGACTTTGTCCCATTGAATCCAAATTAATTTCTGAATTTACAAAATAAGATACCCAATATGTATTGCAGGAAACCTTTATCTATAATGAAACATCAAAAATATATATTGTTTTCTTTTAGCATGTGAGATACCCCCACAGCCTCATCATAGAACTTTGTTCTTTCACTTCACTTGTTTCTTTTTTGTTTAGCATAAAATAAATTTATTTTAAGGAGTTAAGAACTCATTATACAGGAGGCCGTTTATGAGAACTGCCCCTCCTCCCTTGTAAACTAAAAACAAAAACCATGATCTTTGCTGAAGCTCTTTATACTTTTCATTTCAACACACACAGCTCCATTAACCGATTGTCACAGCAAAAGCCACAACAAACACACACAGCAGCGTGAACTGCACAATTCAACAGACAATGCAGACAAACTTGAGTATAATCCAAGATCTTTCTACCTCTTTTCATAACAGGTTAGTGCTCGCCCTCAGTGTTGGTGTACAGTTTTTATGGCATGGAAAAATAGGGATGTTTCTGCCCTACAAAAATAAATGTGTTGAATGCTTTAGTTTGAACTTGCACAATGTCAAAAAAAGACCCAAAGACTGGCACACATAAAAATAATCCAGTAAGTGAGGACATCAGTGGAACTCATGGCTGGTGGTGGGAAAATATGGATAAGAAATCCACCAACCTCCATTTTTACCTTGCTGCAACATCTTTCAAAAATAAATTCTTACTTTTCAGTGAATAAGGAACGGAGCAGAATTGAAGCGTGTAGGCAGGAATTTTGGCTGCTTGTACTGTGTCACTGAAATGACATTCAAACAAACCCCTAGTGCATCATAAGCATCAACTGCTCATAAGGCACCTTTGAACCTGAGAAGCATTATTAGGCTTGAGAGAAGTTGGGGACATTTGTTACAGGTTATTTCCCACCCCCTTCCTTGCCCCATTATAAAATTGGCCAGACTCCATCTAGGACAAAATAGGAATAGTAAAAGGAAAGTAATCCAATGTATTAAAATACGCATCAAACATAGTATTTGGGGAGATCATCTTAATGCCACTATATAAAGCCATGGTGCGCCACACCTTGAATACTGTGTGCAGTTCTGGTCACCCCATCTCAAAAAAAGTTATATTAGAATTGGAAAGATACAGAGAAGGGCAACAAAAATCAGTAGGGAGATGGAACAGCTTCCATATGAGGAGAGATTAAAAAGAGTGGCACTGCTCTGCTTAGAAAAGAGATGACTAATGAGGTGTGTGTATGACAGAGGTCTATAAAATCATAAATAGTGTGGAGAAAGAGAATAGTGAAGTGTTATTTACCCCTTCATATAACACAAGAACCAGGGGTCACCCAATGAAATTAATAGGCAGCAGGTTCAAAACGAACATAAGGAAGTACGTCTTCACACAACGTGAAGTCAACCTGTGGAACTCATTGCCAGGGGATGTTTGAAGACCAAAATTATAACTGGGTTCAAAAAAGAATTAGAAGATAGATCCATCCATGGCTATTAGCCAAGAAGGTCAAGAATACAACTTGTTGCTCCAGGTGTCCCTAAACCTCTGATTCCCAGAAGCTGGGACTGGACAACAGGGGATAGATCACTTGATAATTGCCCTGTTCTGTTCATTCCCTCTGAAGTGTCTGGCACTGGCCAGATGGACCCTGTATGTCTGTTCTTATGATGCACTAGGAAAAGTAACAGCATGAAGCAGGTTTCCAGAGGTTCCTTTAGTTTAATAAAAAAATGAAGAGTGAATGAACTCCGTTTTCTAGGGTGTATTTAATGTTCCTTAATGCAAACAGTATGGCTCCCACAGGTCCATTCCTCCATTTATAGCAATAATAACAACCTGGTTTTCTCTGAGGTTAGTCAGTAAAAGGAGGGAGAGCTGGGGGAGGACTGTAATGAAAGCCTAGTACAAAGCTGCCATTTCTATGTAAAGTTGTAAACTTGCATGGATGCAAAACTTTATCTCTGTCATACAGAAGGAGAAAAGGTGAGGGAATAGGGTGGTGGTGGGGAGAAGGGTGTTTCATCGATCAGGCTTATTAGTTTGCCAAGGTAACAAACTTACCACATTGCGTGTGAATTTCTCAAAAGATGTTCGACGATCCAGTGTGTTTTCCAACTTAAATTAAAAAAAGGGGGAAATAAAAAAAGGAAAAAGAAAAGAAAAGGGGAGAAAAAAGAAGAAGAGCAAGAAACAAATAGAGCAGAAAAGAAGGAATGATGAAACGATGGACTGCAAAACAAAGCTCATGTACAAATCAAGAAGCAAAAGTAGGTATGAAGCTGCTAATGAATGCCTGTTATAGAACAATGGACGGGCAAAGCAGTTATAATATTTGATTTAAAAAAAAAAAAACTTTTCTCAGGTGGATCAAACTGGTTTGATTAAAAAAGAAAAACTGAAAATAAAAAAAAATTATGAAGAGCATTTCTTGTGTCAATGAACTGACATTTGCAAAACTTAAGGACTTTGCATACACAGTAGCAGCTCTGTGGAACTTTCAACATTTCTCCATATTGGATGGTCAGAAACTAACATTTGAAAAAAACCATACAGTACTTCCATATAATTTTTAGATTTTCATTTTATGCACAGTTTAGTATTATCAAGATCATAACTAGCTTACTATTACTTCTACATAGGATAATGGGCCTGATTTTGCAAACAGTGTTCCCAACTGATTGCAATAGGATTTCAGAATTTGTGGTGGTTGCAGAATCAGACCTACTAATAACAAACAACAATTTCATTACAGACTTTTGCATCAGAAAGTGTTTTGGAATTTCCTTGCACTCAGCACTTTGACCCCCTATCATGTAAGATGCTCCACACAGTGAAGGGTTCGTCTCTGCAGAGCTCATTGCATAATCTGGACCTTAAAAAGCAAGGGTCATGTACCATGGTAAGATTTTTTGTTTGCATGAGTGTGACATGATCTCACATTCATATTAGATTCCTAACCTGATAAAAACTAGACATATAATAACAGGGAGAGAAAGAAATCCTAAGATACTTTTTAAAAAAATGAAATCAGAAGTTATTCATACCAATGAGATCAATTTTAAAAAAATTAGTAGGCTTCGTAAATAAAAATAAAGAAAATGAGAATTATTATATTTGCAAATTTGAAAGACTATACTGCAGGGATTTTATTTTATTTAACCTACTTGTAAACTACTTTTCAGTTTAAGTTGCTTGGTAACAGAAAGAGTGCTACAATGTGAGATGTAAAAATAAAAATAGGTTTTGCTAATTTAACTTATTAAAACATACACGCGTGCAGGATACATTTATCAAACTACTGTATGTATGTGACCCTCTAAATAAGCCAACCTGGTCACCTACCAGATATCCAGCTGCACTTGCACAGGGGAGAGAAATCCATGTATTGTAGCAAACATCACCACCACCGAGCACAGTTGCAACAAAAAGAGAAGATGGATCAATACCTTTTTCTTGGCCTGTAGCAGCTCCTGGTAGGCACTGGATCGTATAAAACGAGGATAGGAATCACTTTTCATCAGTTTGTAAATGTGCTCCTGAAGAGAAAAGATATAAAATTTAAAAAAATTGACAGTTTGAATGGATGTTCTGAAAACAAGATGCAGTGGACTAAGATCAAAAAGATAGATAACAGAATATTTAATGCCATTATCGAGAGATACTAGAGATTATTAGTTGTATATTTTTATGGAAGGAAACATAAAAGGAAGGAGCATTGGCTGCAGTTCTAGAGTTAAGGGTGAATTGACTTTTGTTCTTAAAGTAGAATCCACCACTTTGTCATGTGTGAAGAATACAGTGTACCTTCCCCTTCAATTACAGCACTCGTTCTATATTTGAATGAATTTTCTGAGAATTTACAAGTACATCAGCTAAATAGACTCTCCAAAAAATGTAACACCCATACAAAACCATTTTTTGTCCCAAATTACTTTACTAACAGAATAATACAATCTTCCATTATAGATAAATTTATTGAAGTTTAGTCCATTGGCTACACTTGAAGACATTGTATTTAGGGTTAATTGGCCATTCTGCTAAACTCCACCCTGTAGTGATACCATGAGGGATGGGGAATCAAATGTGTCTTTAAATTTAATCTAATCTGGGACTGCAAACACTAGTATGCACTGATTGTAACTGCATCGCCTCACTACAAGGCAGCATTAAAATTGTTTGGGTGCCTTAACTGTCCATTTCCATACCATACATAACATGTTTGGATTTCTTTTAAATTGAACCTTAACTATTTCCTGGATCTGGTTTTCAGATAATTACAATATCCCTGTAATATTGTTTATCTGTAAATTACTGATATGTACTCAGCCATAAATCCAGTTTAATATAATTATCTGGGAATATTTATATATACTAGTGCCCTGACATCCCAGTCAAGATCATGCCCCATGAACTGTGTCACAAGATCATGCCCCATGTACTGTTCAGATGCATGTGAAGTCATGTCCCGAAGAATTTACAAATATCTACAGAGCAGAGGCCACTCTAGCTATAGGCCAGCTAGGCAGCTTCCAAGGGCTGCAGATTTCTGGGCAGCTGCCTAGGGTAGTAGATTTGGCCTGGCCGCCCATCTGTTATGACAGAGAGGAGGCTGGGCCAAACCTGAGTGGCGCAGGGGGCATCATACTAAAGTGTGCCTAGGGCAGCAGATTGTGTTGAGCAGCCTCTGCTACAGAGAGAGAGAGAGAGAGAATACTCAGAAATCAAATTCAGAGAATGCCCTAAAAGCTGAAGGGCTAACATGTAAAGTAGTCTAAATCCATGAGTCTGTATTTGTTTTTAGACAGTTGGGGTGGGAGGGTTTAAAAAAACCCAATATGAATAGAAATATATATTTGTAAGCATTCAATGAAACCAGTTTACAAAATAATTTAAATTCTCTCTTGCAGTATAGGGAAATTCTGGCACAACAACACTGACCTAGTGAATGAACCTGAAAGTGAAAATCCTAACACTTTATACAGTGCAAGCTGAGTGAATGGAGAAAGTAAACAAAAGGAGACAAAATGTAAGTAGAAGTCGATCAAATTTTCAAAGTTCTCTCAGTTTTGATAATCTAATGCTTTTAGAAACTCTGAAAAGTGATCATGTAAAAAATAGCACCTTCTGACCCAACATGCTACCTTCATGCATTCAGAGTCAGATCTGGCCCCTTTAGTGAGTCTTTACACCATTTTTTTTTTTTTTTTCACAGCTAATACAGCTAAGAGAGAACAAAGAGGATTCTGTTCCTTCATCCACAGTATCAACAGAGTTGGTTAACAACATTCAGCCAATTGAATCTGTGCAAACACCATTGTAAACAGCAGCCTCGCAGATGTGTCACAGAGAATAACTTAACTTGCAGAATTTATTACTGGTGGTAATGCACAAGAAGTAAAGAACCCAGGTTGCTTCTCAGATTCCAGGTTAAGCTGGCAAAGCTGGAGTTAGAAAAAATATTTTTTTTACTTGTAAATTGAACACATTAGAGCTGGACTCTTCAAGAGGCAAATATGGAACCCCAATGATGCCATTTTTATAGTGAGTCACCTTACAGAGTAGAGCTGTATTTTAAACAAAAATAAAGTTACTTGTTTGATGCCGTGGAGGCTCTTCAACTCAAAACCTGGCAGACCATCACGAGCAGCAAATTCCAAAAGAAGGGGCCCTCTACTGAAAAAGTCTTGCTACTTTAGCACAGTGGGTAAAGATCATAATGTTCAAGGCAGGACAGGTGAGTCCTATCCTGCTTGCTCTGAGTGAGAAGTGTTCACTGTCAGACTTAAATTACGCTGAACAGGATCAAAGGAGGGTGTTCAGATGGGAAAAAGCCCCTTTGCATAGAGTCTGCATACTCCAGACCATACACAAATGGAAAAAAAACCTCTAGAAAGAAAATAAAGGAGTGTTGAGCTTTCATACCCATTTTCCAAAACTAGGATAACGGTAAGGAAGGTTGCTTTTCTTTAGCTATTGCAGTTTAAACATAACTTTGCTTCCAGAGCTTCTGTATTTCTGAAGTATTTAACTAGGTAATTTATGTCTTTGTTTTCTGTGTACTGTACCATTAAATTTCTAAGGGCTTGGTGTAGGCAGCCAACCATTGTGTGTTCAGTTTAATGCAGACTATCACAGTGGAGACATATATTGTGTGCTCTCTCATGAACATTTTCTTGTTTTGTGCTGTGCTATTGTCAATCTAAAACAAAAGCCACTCGGACTGGAGTTATCTGTTTGCTATGTGTATGGTACCATATTTCTTTATTAAATCAACCCGCAAAGTGTAAAATGGAGAAGAAAATCTTAGAAAGTCATTCTCAATCTGTCCTTCATTCCTAGAATATCACTCCTTGAAGAACAGTTCCTAGAAGCCTACTAAGCTGTTCAGTAGATATTACTTTTACAATGAGGTTTATAAGGTACACTTGTACATAGGTCAGGATTCAGAAATAACCTCAGTACAAGCCTTTATATTTATTTCTCCCATGGGATAAACAGTCTTTCCTTGGTATAAACTTTTGCCTCCTATAAACGCTAATGAGAGTTATGAACATGCATCTAGAGGAGAACAGATTCCTCGTTTTGGTTAAGAAAAGTCCTTCAAGAGCAGATCCTGAGAGGCAGAAATTCATTTGATTTTCTGTAGTATTTTTTAATGCAACTGAGCAAAAGGATTAAGAAACCTGGTACCTGAAGAGAATGAACTTCACTGTACCTATATTGCACTACACCCCCGGCTAGCAGGGCAGATGCACACATCTGCAGAGGGCCAGCTTGAAGCCTTTGCACCACTACAGTCATCAAAATTGTGGCTCATATGACACTTAAGCAATGCATAGGCCTTAATCCAAGGAATGAGTTTCCCCCATACTGCATTGATACTGATATTTTCAGAAAAGTGAACACTATATTATCTTTACCAAATATATCTGTTTGTAAGAGTGTGCATACAAGTGGCCGGTGCTATACCTCGGAAGTGCCTGGATGAAGATCATATACTGACCTGAGCATCTTCAAATGTGTATCTTCCTGGGTCCTTCACATTCTGTGTGGTTTTGTCATAACTTTTTGAATCAAGATTGATGGCACTGGGAGCTCCTGGAGCAAGAAACTCCTGCCAGATTTCCTGGACTCGAGCAGGTACTTCACGATTAGGTCTCTTCTTCAAATCTTCAACTGCTAACCAGAACCTATGGCAAAATATGGCAACTTGAATTCTAAGGCTAATTTATTTCCTAGGTTCTGGGTATAACCAGCCTCTCATGGCCTCTTCTCATTAGTATAGTTTGTAATGACATAAAAACTGCTTTAGAGACATCACAGAAACAATACACAGCAATGAGCAAAGTGGTAGCCATCAATTTTGTATTAGGATTATATAGTTTCTGTATAGGAACTGCAATACTGGCTCAGACAAGTGGTCTATCTAGTCCAGTCTCCTATATTAAACAGTGGCCAGTATCAGCTGCTTCATGGGAAGGTGCAAGGAACCCTACAGGATAATCTGCTCACAGGGAAATTTCTGCCTAACCCCCATCAAACAGAGGTTGCCTTGAAGCATGAAGATTTATAGAATCATAGAAATGTAGGGCTAGAAGGGACCTCAAGAGGTCTAGTCCAGCCCCCTGTGCTGAGGCAGGACCAAGTATACCTAGACCATCCTGAGAGGTGTCTGTCCAACCAATAACAGGGATTCCAGAAACTGCCTTGGAAGCCTATTCCAGAGCTTAACTATCCTTATGGTTAGGAAGTTTTTCCAAATATCTAAATTTAATAGCCCTTGCTACAGACTAAGGCCATTACTTGTTGTCCTACCTTCAGTGGACATGGAGAACAATTGATCACCATCCTCTTTATAGCAGCCCCTAATATATTTGAAGACTGTTATCAGGTCCCCCCTCGGTCTTCTTTACTCAACACTAATTATGCCCAGTTTTTTAAACCTTTTTGATAGGTCAGTTTTTTTAAACCCTTTATCACGTTTGTTGCTTTCCTCTGGACTCATTCCATTTTTTCCCCCATATGTTTCTTAAAGTGTGGCACCTAGAATTGGACATAGTACTCGAGCTGAGCGGGATAGTTATCTCCCATGTCTTACATACAACACTCCCAGCATACTAGCCTTTTTAGGTTGTTGGCTTATATTCAATTTGTGATCCACTATAACCCTAAGATCCTTTTCAGCAGTACTACTATCTAGCCAGTTATTCCCCATTTTGTAGTTGTGCAATTGAGTTTTCCTTCCTAAGGATAGTACTTTGCACTTGTCTTAACTGGATTTCATTTTGTTGATTTCAGACCAATTCTCCAATTTGTCAAGGTTCTTTTGAATTCTAATCCTGTCCTCCAAATTGCTTGCAACCCCTCCCAGCTTGGTGTCATCTGCCAATTTTATAAGCATACTCTCCACTCCATTTTCCATTAGTGAAAGTCATTAATGAAAATATGGAATGGTACTGGACCAGGACAGACCATTGTGGGACCCCACTAGATAGCCATCCCAGTCTGACAGCAAACCATTGATAACTAGTCTTTGAGTATGGTCTTTCAATCAGTTTTGCACCCATTATATAGTAATTTCATCTAGACCACATTTACCTAGTTTGCTTGTAAGAATGTCATGTGGGACTGTGTCAAACGCCTTACTAAAATCAAGATACATCACATCTACTGCTTCTTCCCTATTCACTAGGCCAGACCTCTTGTTATCCATCTAAAGGTCTAATCTTCTTTGGAATCCTGCTAAACTCTTAGCCTCAACTGTATTTTGTGGCTGTAAACCGTGCATGCTAATTGCATGTTGTCCGAAAATGTATTTCCTTTTATCAGCTTTAAATGTCCCCCCTTTCAATTTCATTGCCTGTCCCTTGACCTGGTATTTTGAGCAATTGTAAATAGCAGTGTCCAATCTAGCTTCTTGCTAGACAGAGCATACGTACTTCAGGAGGCCATGTAAGGTTATGTGTGAGACCATGGTATATTTTTTCCCCACAATAAAAAAATCACTAAAAAGTGACCAAATGTGATCAGAACTGTGCTACCTGGAATAACATTTATACAGTTGTTGCTATTAGGATACTAGCATGGTTACCTTGATCACTGTACTATAATCACTACTTGGTTGTCCACAGACTGTACAACACAGTCAACAAAAAAGATCACTGCTCTGGGAATCCTGCTAGAAATAGCTAGACTTAAGCATGGTGCCGTAAACTTGTACAGTTTTATTCTCAGAGAAGACAGGACCCACTACAATGTGGTTTCTGCTTTGTCGGGGGAGCCAGATACAATGTAGTCTTCCAATATGATGTCAACATGGTTGGTCTAATAACATAGAGAAGTTGGGACTCAACTGATCTTGACCGTGCTCTGGCTTGGACTTCACCTGATGAGAGCATGATTTGGGAATATGGTTAAAACATGGTATTATCCTGAATACACTGCAAGACCAAGGCATGTTTTCACTGTGTTGAGGGACTACTGTGTTTTACCCAGGTCTCCCAAGAAGTCAAAAATGACATTGCATACTTACAGGTCTGGTAAGGCTGCTGCGCAAAAATAGCAAAGCAAAGCAAATAAACAGAACAACACCTTACAAAATAGTTCTTCACTTCAGTTTACCTCATTGGAAGCAATTAGTCTCATAGTCCCCTTATTAAACTGGCCTAACTCTAACAAATGGCAGGGTGGTCACATGAGCTCAGTACTTCTTTGTAGCAGGGGAGGTGAGATTGGTCCCTTCCCCAGTCACCTGTTCTGTCTCACCTCTCCTTTTTGTTTGGTCGGAAGCCTAAAAGGGCATTTGACAACCTCATTCAATGGTTTAGCTTGTTATGGCTTCCCAGCAACTTGACCTTCAACTGCCTAATATTAGCCTCTATCTTTTGAGATATCTATTTTAGGTACCTATATCTGATATCTGAGCGCCTCCCAATCCTTTTACTGTATTTATCTTCACAACACCCCTGTGATGTCAGGGAGTGCTATTATTCCCATTTTACAGATGGGGAACTGAGGTACAAGGAGACGAAGGTCTAGATCCTGAAAAGACATTTAGGCACCTAAGTTGCTTTGAGGATCTGGTGCTCAGTGATTTGCCCAAGATCACACAGGGAGTCTGTGGCAGAACAGGAGCTTAAAACCCAAGTCTCTGTAGTCCTAGGTTAGTGCTCTAACCATTGAACCACCAAAATCTGATGGTTTTACTGTATTTGGTCTATAAATTTGAAAACAATGCATCTAGAATAGTGTTCTTACACAAGCTTAATAACTGCACAGCACACAGACTTTAATTCAGCTGACCCAGTAAATAATTCTGTTGAGTTTGGGCAACCTGAGTTTGTTGTTTTAAACTGCTTTAGATATTTACATTTCAGAGGGTACGTCCTGCAGTGCAAGCCCCACTCCAATGCACCTACTGGGATTGGCTGATTATTCATGTGTACGAAAGGTAGGTAAAGAGCAGAGAAATGAAAGGGGGAGATGTTCTTTGTAACCACAGCCATTTTCAGACCCAGACATCCATTAGGATCTATCCTAGGAGAGTGATCTTGTTTATTCCTTCTTGTCATCACCAATATTTCTGGGAACCCCACAAATAAACCCAGGATGCTATTTTGCATGTGAACCATTGCCTTACACTATGGTACAGACAGTGATGGAAAAATAGGCGGGAGATAAACTGAACTACTTTGGAGGAACGTGTAGCTTCTAGCATGGAAAAGAAAGGCAATCCAGACCCATCTTTATCAAGGTGAGCACAAGCTCCTCACTAGTAGATTAATTTTTATTTTACATTTCTAACGTTAGTATTCCAAAAACCCTACAGAAACTGTGAGCCTGTAATTGTAGAAACCTCTTTTAAAATGGAAACAAAAAATGTGCTGAGAGCTGCAATATGCTATGTCTAGGGAGATTACTTCATTCCAGACATACATTTTAATCTGCTTACTAAGCTTTCAAAACAAAATGTATACCCTTTTCCTACAGAAGAGTCGAGCATTAAGGCTACCGCCTTGTGTGTGTTCATTAATTTTGCCAGCTATCACACAGGAAATCAATAGCAGAGCCAGGGTTGGAACACAGACCTGCAGGGTCCCTGTACAGTACCTTAAACACAAGAGAACATCCTTTCTTCTCTTACAACCCTTTGCCTCAATCACTGTCTCTCCAGTGCACTGAATAAAGCAAGAGTTCTGTAGAACAAGTAGTATGTAAACATGTAATTAAATACTGTCATCATGCATACACACAAGGGCCAAATTAAGATTGCCTGGGAAGTGACATACATAGAATTAACACCAGCTAATGGAAGAACCCTGATTAGAACTCACGGGCTCCTCCTCACTCCCAATGCAATACAACCACCCATGGGCCAAAGCTACTGGAGCATCCCTGTATCTGGAGCTCTAGCTTTGTGCCTATCATGTGGGGAGCTCTGTAGAACTGGAACATAATGCAGTTGGCATGTGGGTAGCTTTATGGAGCTGGATAGAACATTTGGAGGTTTTAGCAGCAAGCTCCTAACAAGCTCCACTGAGCATGTGCACCTGGGAGGTTTGTAACTCTGTCATATTTGGATGGATTTTCATGAGGACAGAAAAAACCCCTCTCTCTGACACCTAGGATCACCCCTTTTCCAAATACCAAGTGTTGCTCCAAAACAAGGAGGTGCTAAAGCTCTTCAAGGGAACGGTTGGAAAAAATGTTAACATTGGCCAAACTACCTATTAATCCTTAGCCTTATTCTCCAAAACCCCTATCGCTGAAATATTCCAAAAATTCATTCTGGGGCAGAGAGCAAGCATGGAACATTTCAGTCTGAGAGATTAAAGTTTGGCATCTTTATTAGCAACTGAAAACAGGAGTTAATAGAAAGTGTTAGACAATCTGAACTGTCGGTTGCTACCAGCTCTGCCTGTTATACCTTGCAACAAAGGCCAGTAACTCTTCTCCATGGTCATTTAACTGCAGAACTAGCTTCCCACTGGCATTTCAGATAAATATATTTAAATACATAAAAACATTTAAAAATAATCTACAATGATGATTAATAAATAACAACAAGAAAAACAAGGTGAGGCCGAAAGGGAAAAATCAATCAAACCCAATATGCCTATCTCCTGTATCATTCCCTCCTCCACCAATCAAATCATTTTATTATGGTATAATTAAGCTACAATGTATGTATATATTCTTTCAGATAAAGTAAACACAAGCATGACCATTCAGACATAAGGCTGATGTAGTCTGTGTTTCACACCACTGAGCTGTATACAATTATTTGATTTATTTATTTGAAAGGATTAATCTGAGACATCTATCCCTGGTGCTAGAGATTTTTACAGCAAGTACAGTGTGTGATTACAAAAATAAGCCCCACACAAAATTCCAGTGCACGCTGGGTTGCTGAAACTAGACGATTTGTCCAGCCTACTAACCCCATATCTGACCACTCTCTAAACCCCCGCTCTGACATACACACATATACATGCTACCAAGCACCCAGAACTCTTCTCTCCCTCGAGCTTTCCAGCATCTTATGAAAGTTAACAAATCCAAGGTCTATCTGATCAAGGAGAAGGGCACATTTCAGAAGATGCCCTACCACTTTTCCTTCCTTTTTAACCCCAGGGGCTGTTTTTAGCACAAGTACCTCTGTTGAGCACACAGCTGCTGCTGTATCACACAGGGAGAAAGATGGTCTGTTATGTAGGCAAGACTCAAAACCATTTAGGTCTTTATAGTTTGAAATCAATAACAATCTCCACCTGGAAACTAATAGGCAGACAACATATAAATACTTACTGGTCAGAGACCTCAGTGATACATAGACATAGCAAGGATCAGACAAGGAGCGAGGCTGGGATTTTCAAAGAAGACTAAGGAAGTTAGGTGTCTAACTCTCATATTTCAATGGGATTTAATTGCCTGAATCCCATACGCTCCTTTGAATATCCCAGTGTGCCTGGGCAACCAACTGATCCAGACAGTACTGGATCCTGCTAAAACTTAAGCATCCACATTTAAAATATAGTTCTTTGCTTCCTAACAGGAGCTAGGAACTTTGCAAAAATGATACTCTCAACTCTTGTGTTACTGTAATACTTGGCCTCACAGTGAACCAAGCATAAAGCAGAGCTTCCAAAAGGACTTGCTCTCAGTGGATGATTACTAAGGAGGGTGTAATAGTGTAGGCTTGATGCATGGAGGAGCAGTTCTGTGAGCCTTCTGAGTTAAATGGTCCACTCAGAATCCCATGTCCTGTACTGAAGCTACACTACTAACACCCCTGATCAGACTTTTTCCAAGAAATATTAGCGGAATGAAGAGCAAGAGGAGACCAACCAGTAGCTACATTGACTAGGGATGAATCTCATCCAGCTGAGCTGCCTCTTTACCCAAGAAGTACAGTATTATGTTTTATCAATTTATGGTGCTTACATGGCTCCCCCACCCCATTACTGTAGTATCTGAGCACCTCACAGTCTTTAATTATTTATCTTCACAGCTCCCCCATGAGGTAGGGAAGTAGTATTGTTCCCATTTTACAAATAGGGAACCAAAGTACAGAGACACTAATTAACTTGCCCAAGTCACACAGTACGTGTCTAAGCAGGAAATTGAACCTACATCTGCTCAGTCCTAGGCTAGCACACTAACCACTGAACTATCCTTCCTCTCGGTTTCAGTCCATTGCTTCAAATTTCTTCACATTGGCTCGCACTTCTTAAGAAAGACTCTACTGTGGACCAACTTCACTCCCAGTACCAATCCTGATTCCACACTTCTCAACTCAAGGGCAAGAAAAAAGTCATATTGAGAGTATTAACGAGATAAAGCTGAAAATAAACATGGTTTCATGCAATGGGTGTGGCTCCTCGATTACAGCCTCTTTTTATATCTCCTCCACTTCTTCCATTGACCTGGGCACAGGGCTTTAGATTGATTAGGAGTGAATGTTTCCTCACTGCCTGAAGCCCAATGCTGTATTTTCTACAGGATATTTCGCAGTTTGGTACTATAGTCCCATCTGTTTGCTACTCCTCTGGTTTTGATGACACTTGTTTTAAATTCAGTCATGGTCAAATCTGCAAAGGGATGACACCTGATAAATATGGATGTGAAGTTATGTTAATCATATTACTAAGCTGAGGAGCTATTGATGGAAGCAAATCCCCTTGCCACAGTATTAGAAAGATGCTATCAAATCCCCCAAACTACAAATTCTATCATTATGTGGTTAATAGCTGTGTAAGCAGGTAGGTGCTCTTACATTTAAAGAAATCAAAACTGAGTGTGATAGAATTCGGGAAGATGCTGAGACATTTAGGTGTGCCATTGTGCATCAACAGGTACTTTGTGACTCATTATGCATGGGATTACTATGTCAGAAGTAAATTTTATTTATATCACTGCAATCAGTGGCATTTTGAGTCTCATACATATGAGAATTTAAAATGAGTTCTCTCTAACATGTCACAGGCATAGCTTTTTATTTGGCACCCATCTCCGCTCAGATATTATGCTTTATTATGCTAATATAGGAACCTAGATAGATAGATATAATGGGAGATGGCACATTGAGAAATTAGCTCCAAACAAAATCCTCTAGGGTATTTTGCTGGATCAGTCACTTGCAGTTTGCCTGTGGTTAGTGTTGTAAATAGGATTAGAGGAAAGAGCCTGGGATTATGTGGTAACAGTCTGGTTGGCAGCAAGACAAATTAGTCATAGAAAAGTGTAGAAAACATAGCATATGCTAGGTTGAACAGGTTCATGTTTGAACAGCTGCCTTGAATAAGGAATTACTGGGACCTTTTTTAAATAAAAAAAAATACCTTCCCATTCCTTTGTACCAGGCTGATAAAAGATTTGCCCTTTAATTATCACTTAGCTTTTTTAATTCAGAAATTGCCACCAACAAGTAACATTTATTTAGCAACACACACATTGGCCCAGATCTTAGTCCCTCTGAAATCAATGCAAAACAACAGCTGGGAACAGGATAGGGTCCAGAATATTTAATTTATATTTTTGATCCAAAATTGTTCTGTAACTTAACTAGATATGGGGTTTCCTGTATTACCACATTAAATCCAGATTTAATAGTGGAGATCTCCAAACTGTGAATATGTTAAATACAGTATGGTAAAAGAATGCCCAATAGCATGGAATAATCTGCTCCCAGTTACTCTGATGTAAGTTTGGAAAAACTTCAGTGCTATGTACCCTCATGTCTAGAAACTGAGGGTGCTTGGCATCTTTCAAATTAGGGCTTTTATACTAGACCGGGATCTCTCTCCATAGTGCTCAGGTGCCTGGTGAATCCCATTTTTAAGGGAGTCACAGCTGGGCAATGAAAATAACTTAGTATGGGGATGGGTTTTTGATATACATACCTTTGAGAAGCAAAATTCACTTTTTTTGGCCGTAGAAGAGCAAAAATTAATATCCATTGTTAAGTCCTTCTCACATGCATATACTGGTAGTTTTAATATAGCTTCACTGGAACAGCAACAACCAAAAATGGCTTTTGCTAGTGGTTTGGCTATAATTCTATACTGTGAAATGGGCCGTTTCTGTTCATTTTTAAAAGAGATCTTGTTTTAAACTAGAAAAATTTAGATTTGACAAGTTGTCCTACACATACACAGCGCCTTTATTATGCAATTTTTGAAGAGAAGTTTCTTGGAGATTTACAAGCTTCTAAAAAACTTGTATGACAGGAGCAAGTCACATCAGTCATACCATGTTTAACCTACACTAAGAGTTAAGAGCATTTTGTTGTTCTTTTTAATCACTGTCAGGGAGATTTTCAAAAGCAGCTATGATATTTAGGAGCAAACATCCATGGGATGTTTGCTCCTAAATCCCTTAGTTGCATTTGAAAATTTCCCACTGTAAGTTTACTATCCTTATAATGCTTTATGTATTAAAAGATACCAAATGCCCTGTGGCATTTCTGAGACATGTAATATGATGATTTGAGAGAGGATCCCTCTAGAAACTGGACATGATCAGAATAGTGTGTTTAGGGATGCGGAATATTTATATATTTGTTGGTGTTGGCCTGAGCACCATTAACACTCAAAGCCATTGAAAAATGAGGGCATGCGACACCTCTTAGGATTGGACCCTTAAGCAGAAGAAATGGGACTATATCTATAAGGGAGAAAATAAATTTAAAAAAATGGCACCAGACACACAAAACATTTCTTAGCTGTTGCTAAAAAGATAAAAACTCTTCAGCTTCACCTTAAGTTTTCTGAGCTGAACTCTGACTCCAGGAACTTGAGAAACTGCTCTCTCCCCACTGTGTCCTTCAATGCTTCATCCATGCCAAAGCCCCATCGCTTTACCCTCTGTTGCCCTGGCTCTTTGCTGTGGGCAAGAAAAAAAGTAGTCACAGACTGAGCTAGCACTTTAGTGTTGTATATGCAAATAATGATGGGAACTCCTAAAGTTCAGCTATGGGTTTCTCACCTTCCAAGTCACTTGTGTTTGTATGGTGGTGTTATACAGAGATTTAATGGTCAGTGCCAAGCACACTGTCAGTGCTTAATCAATATAGCATAGGAGTGCGTGTGTGTGTGTATGTGTATATATATATATATACACATACACACACACACGCACACACACATATGTATGTATATATGGGGCTCCCCTTCTCGTCCCCCTCCTCAGTGGAACCCTGTATATTGGCCATTGTGGACCCTGCAGTTTTTCATGCAGGTATATAAATCCATCCAAAATAACATGAAACTGGACAGCTGAAAAGACCAAGAGCAAATTGGTACGCATGGTAGTCGCATTTCCTATCTGCCTCAGTACTGTGCTGCAGAACGTATGGTTGAAATCTGCACATTTCAAGCAAAGACGGAAATTATTGCCGTGTACTTTATTAATCTGAAAAGAAGGAAGAAATAACATACCAGACCTCTAGTTCCCAGAATGTAGTGTCATCTGATAGCCAAGGGTTAGAGGGGTCAGGCGACACAAGAAATGGATCATATTCCACATACTGCTCTGTGTAAGCTAACAGACTAGAAAAACAAAACCATCCAACATTGTCATGTTAACAAGCTTTATGATCAGAAACCTGTTTTTTAAAAGTAAACAGTGGTGGTGGTGGGATAGTGCTTCCTATTTTATCAAGGGCTGAAATAAAATAAACTGCAAGCTTTATTAATACTTCTAAACATTTCTGCATGGAATTTCACTGAAGAATGTCAAATGCATTAATCAATAAAGTCTAACACGCAGCCCATGAATCAGGTTTTAGCCTCATTTTATAGATGAAGCTAAAGAGATTGAAATAAGGCACAGAGAGAAGCTGAAATAAAAGAAACTAATTAAGTAGATCTGACTCTGATTTGGGGAGGGCTGAGTTGGGAGGGGAGCTCACTGAGAGGCTTAATGGAGGCAAGGTAGCAACATTATTGTACAACAGATCTGGGGATAGGTCCCTGAGCTGCATAGGTGCTGTCACTCTGCCTACTGCCTGATTCACCAGCTCAGCTGTGCAGTGGCTCTTTCAGGTGGCCAGACTACAGGGGTTTGGCGGGGGGAAGACGGGGGACGGCAAACCATGGTTTCTCTAAAACAGGCACCAGTTCTGAAAATAAGGATATTCCTGGCTTTCTGGGAGATATAGTTGCCTATTTACTTATAAAAACTGGGTTGTTCAGTCATATTAATGCAGAGTGGAGCGAGAGCATGCAGGATAAGAGTCAGTTAATGATGGTGGGGGGGAGAGAATGAAACAGGAGTCAATTTTTTTTTAATTTCTTGGGAATGAACTTAGTACAATGTCGTGGTGCAAAAATTGTCTTGCAGGCCCACAAAAAAATCATCAACACCAGCTGTGGTACCCGATGACTTCGAAAGGAGTTTGTGAGACGCCACCAATTTGGCCAATACCAGGGACTGAACTAAGGGCCTCCTGAGCTGAAAATAAGAGGGGCTCTAGTGAAGCTAAAGAGCCAGGCTCTGCACTGTAGAGCTGTAACGGACACAGCCTCTGTACATAGGGACATACAGCCATACGCAACATACAATGACCAGTAGGTGACATCTACATTCGTAATTTTGTGGCCTTTTCTCCACACCGGTCCTGAAAAACAGATAGCAATTTTCCTAGGGAAGGCAATGTCAGGGAGCTTAGTGTACAAAGCAGTTACATGATCGCGCCACTGCTTTCTTCTAAATTCAGCACTTTTTTTCCTGTTTCACTGAACTGAGAGAAATGGCATTAAATCACACCATATTAGCGAATCAGAAAATAGACATGCCTTCACAGCTCACACAAAGTAAACTGTCTTCAGTCAATTTGAATAACACATCCCAGCTCCCTTGTCTCCTCCTCTCTGGCTCCTTCTCACAGAAAATTTCTAGATACTTCTTAGACCATTTCAAAAATAGAAAATGTGACAATATACGTACCTCTCTGCAACTTTTGACATTTTTAATCGATGTCTATCTAACTGTATTTGCCAATATTTTATCTGAAAAAGTGAAGGCAAAAAGTGGCATGAGTAATGTCTTGCTTGACTCTATTTGCAGAACGTTTTATTAGGACTACAATGTAAATTTAATTTTTCCTAAGTCACAGAGAAGTGTATCTGAGCTATAATGACATATTATCATAATATTTCTTAACGTAGATGGAACTCTCTATTAGTACAAAACATTATACATAGCTAAAAATGGACAAGTATAACATTTTTCCTAAAGGTTCATCAAATAAATCTAATTAGTATTTTAATTTTTACAGAGAAATCCATTAATTGTTTCCAGTCACCCACCTTTTACTGCTTCTATTGCTCTGGGAAAGATTAATGAAGTATAAATGGCAATATGAGTAAATCCACACACACTGAGATGCAACTATGCTCTCAAACCTTAAAGTGAAGTGTTGGAAGAGTGAGTGAGTGAACTGGTTACTGCAAAAAGGCTAATGCATTTAATTACAAAAAGAACACACAAACTGGATTATTGGTAAAGCCTTACACTGTTAATAAAGACTAAAAAAAGTTAATGCTACTCCCATTACCCTTAATGAAAGTTATATGCATAAATCTCCATGTACTGAGATGAGAAGAAATATACTCTCAAACTTTGTTTCCTCTAAACATTTAATTGATCGAATTTAAATGTTAAATAAATATACTTGACAGTTATGGTAACTTTTTATTCTTTTTTTTCCCAGAATGGTTTATTTAGAAGTTTATTATAATTGTTTTCAAACCTCTTGGTGTAATTCGTCTTCTGTGGGTGGCTTGGTTTCTGGTACTGGTGTGTGGGTAGGACTATGACTTCGAATGTCATTTTGTAATCCATAGACAGACTATGAAAAAGTATGGAAAGAAAGACATTTGTTTTTAAAGAGTGCTTATCTTATACAAACATCATCATATATATTTTTGTATTATGTATTTAAGAAGTTAGCTACCTCTGTGTATTCAAAAGCCTTACATCATTGTTCAACAGAACTGTAAATATGCCATACATTGAAACACAATGTTGCGAAATGAAACAAATAATTCTGAGAAAAGGCCCTATTACATGATAACATCGGATTTTATGTCTAACTCTCTCTCTCTATATATATTTGCATGTAGCACGTGTTAGGGATGACACAGTAGGGCATCTATTATAGTGGGTGGAGGTGGTTGGCACGGAAGAGAAGGAACAGGAAATTGAGAGGTACACTGCCATGATGAATTATTATTTGTACAGTTCCCAAATGTGTGCCAGGTGCTTGATAAATGATTAATGCCTGGGACCTTTCACTAATGCAATCAAATTGTGCTGATGACATCTCCAAATCCAGTCTTCCTTCAGATTCAGGATTTTACCATGCAACTACACGATAATCTAACTACAAAGTGATACTTTAGATTAAAAATGGGATCAATGTACAGAACTGGGATCCAGCTCTGGATCTGGAATACCTTATAATTTAGGACTGCTTGGATCTGGGGTATTGGTTCAACCTGTTATATAGACTTGGGCAATTTGTAAAATTGATTTGGTATATCAAATCTATTTCCTCCAAGGTTTCATTTGTGGACATCTTTATTTTAAATTTCTCTTTACTTTCAAGGATGTGCAAGGATCCATTGCTACTACTATTTTTCTTGCATGTTTGCACTTACTGAAAGTGAAACTTCTGTGGGCATTTTCACTTATATTTTTTCCCTTTAACTAATGATAGAAAATTTGTAACAGGGATACTAAGTATGTACCATGCAATATTCAATATACTGAACAACATACTGACAATATGTTCTACACTGCAAAATATGGGTCTCTTATTCTTTTAGTTCCCCCTGTCTATGGCTAGGTCTACACTACCCACCTGAATCGATGGGTAGAAATCGACCTCTCGGGGATCGATTTATTGCGTCCCATCGGGACGCGACAATCGATCCCCGAATCGACGCTCTTACTCCACCAGCGAAGGTGGGAGTAAGCGCCGTCGACAGGAAGCCGCAGAGGTCGATTTTGCCACCGTCCCTACAGCGGGGTAAGTCGGCTGCGATACAACTCTGGAAATATAACACTTTTTATCCAAACACAGTACTTACCTTTCTTGTTTTGTGAGGATTTTTCATTCTTGAAGACTTTTTTATATCCACTTCAGTAGTGTTTACACATCCAGGCTAAAAATTAAAAACACATAAGAATGGAATCTGACATTGAACTCCATATTTATTGCATTTAGTTACTGCACAGTGAAGCTTGTACTATGGGTTAGAGTAAGCAGAGACATGGTCAAAACTGTGAAGTATGGATAAATTTATCCTGAGGATGACAAACTATATTGAAAAACGTAAGATGCCGGAGTGTAGACTCCTCTGGAAAAATAGGAGATAACGCTGTATACAGGATCATGAATATTACCGGTTTGCACCCTGCATCTATGTAGCAATATGGATGCCACTATAATGCAAAAGCAATGCCTTCAGGAGATAATATTTTGAAACCTGCACTGAGATCCACCTCCAATAGACAATCTACTGTCTTAATTTTTTACTTTAAAACATCATTAGGGTTTCCAGAACAATGTTGCTTGGTCTATTTTGAGTAGGGTTGGCAGATTGCAGAAAACCAAACACCCTTGCCTCGCCCCTGCTCTGCCCCTTCCCCAAAGCCCTGCCCTTGCCCCACCCCTTCTCCTAGGACCTGCCCCCCTCACTCCATCCCACCTCCCTCACGTGCTCACTTTCTCCAGGCAGGGGCAGGGGGTTGGGGTGCGGGAGGGAGTGAGGGTTCTGACTGGGTGTGCGGGCTCAGGGGTGGGGCCGGGGATGAGGGGCTTGAGGTGCAGGAGGGAGCTCCAGGCTGGGGGGTGAGGCCAAGGGGTTTGGAGTGTGGGAGGGGATTCTGGGCTGAGGCAGGGGGTTGGGGTGTGACAGGGGAACGGGCTCTGTGCTGGGGGTGCAGGCTCTGGGGTGTGGCCAGAAATGAGGGGTTCAGGGTGTGGGAGGGGGTTCCCGGCTGGGGCTGAAGGGTTTGGTGTGCGGGACGAGTGCAGGCTCTGGGAAGGAGTTTGGGTGTGGCGGGGGCTCAGGGCTGGGGCAGTTGGGGTGCAGGAGGGGGCTCTGGACTGGGGTGAGGGTGAGGGCTTCTTCTGGGGGTGCAAGCTCTGGGGTGGGGCCGGGGAAGAGGGGTTTAGGGTGCAGGAGGGGGCTCTAGGATGGGGCTGAAGGGTTTGGAGTGCGGGAGGGAACTCAGTGCTTGGGCTGGGGGTTGGGATGCAGGAGTAGGTGTGCGGTGAAGGCTCTGGGAGGTAGTTTGGGTGCAGAAGGGGGCTCAGGGCTGGGACAGGAGGTTGGGGTTTGGGGCTTGGGCTCTAGGCGGCGCTTAACTCAGGCGGCTTCCGGGAGAGGCAGGCATGTCCCCCTGGCTCCTAGCCCTGGCCAATGGGAGCTGCGGAGCCAGCACTCGGGGCAGGGGCAGCATGCGGAACCCCCCCCTGGTCACCCTTGCGCGTAGGAGCCGCACATGCCGTCTGCTTCCGGGAGCCGCACGGAGCTAGGTCAGGCAGGGAGCCTGCCTTAGCCCTGCTGCGCCTCTGACGGGAGTTTTAGGGGCTCGGTCAGCAGTGCTGACGGGAGCCACCAGGCCCCTTTTCGACCTGGCATTCCAGTCGAAAACTGGAGGCCTGGCAACACTAATTTTGAGACCTACTTTTGCTAGGCACCCCTTTTTGCTAGTTGTTCAGGTGGCCTTTAGACAGATTTCACTTTATCTCTCTATGTTGAAAGGACTGTGAACAATATACAGAGAAGCATGAAAAAACACCTAATGTTCACTCCAGCAGGATTTGTGACAGAGGTTGGGAGTGGAGCAGCTAAGATTATTATTCAATTAAATTATTACCTATAATTTGTGTTGGACACTTAATTACAAGTTGCTATAGCTCAAAGTCATAACTCAGAGAGAACAAACCCTTTTTAAGACCGCAGAAGCAAAACACGTTTCTTCCTTGGTTCTGTCAGGGACTCCAAACAATAAGAGATCTTCTGTGCAATGCTGTCATTTGAAAAGTGTGGTGGACCCAGAAGGCAATGCACAGACTGTGCAAGGTGCCCCATAGCATATATGAAACCTACACCATGATCTTGACTATCACTCCTTCAGAAAGCAAGGACTATTGGACCACTTCTTTAAAAGGTAGCCTGAAGAAGGTGGGGAAATTGAGCTTGCTTCTTCATGTAACACAAAGGGGCTTGAACAGTCTTGACAAAATATAGACAAAAACCTGTTTTCACATTTCCTGCTAATTTTTGTTTATTTTAGAAATTCAGGTCATGTCTAGCCTGAAAGGGACTCAATGGAGAACCAATGAAATTATGACATCACAAGAGACTAAGCTAAGCAATTGGGAGGGGAAGAGACTTTTAGCTATGCTGTTTAAGACTTTGTTTATGTAGAAACTTATTTAACTGCCTAATAAATGCTTTGCTTAAAAGGCATAGGTTTTTAAGGTTCAACATCTCAGTTATGAGGTAAGAACTCACAATAAATATGTAAGGTACCCAAGAAAGTCCTCCAGTCAAACAAGCCTTTAAAATTTAAAAAAATAAAGCAAATGGAAACAACAAACAAATGTACATTTCAGTCCTTCTTGCAACATCATAAAGAAGCACAAAAGGACACAAAACCCATTTATTTTTAGATCTGCTTGTACACGCTGCAAATGCAACTTTCTGTACAAATGCAACTTTCTGTGTTTAAATAAGGTTTTGCACACAAAATTGAAGCCTTCTAGGCATCCGCTGTCAGAAGAATGTGCTGCCACTACACTACATTGAGGCATGGTATGGTGAGCCAAAGATGGCATTTTAACCAAAGCTGTGTGAAACTCAATAGTATTCATTCCTGAAGCACAGTGCAGTCATTTGAATCTTTTCATCAGTTTCAGTTAATGTTAGTTTGAACCCCAAGTTCTGCTCTGAGTTTCTGACTCAAAGTGAAACTTGGCCAATTTAAGATTATGAAAAATCATAAATCATTCAAGGTTACTAAAATTTAATAGAACTTTTAGAAAAACCTGTGCTGCCTTTCACATGTACAATCATACACTGATTGAACTCAATGGCAAAACTCTCATTGACTTTTATGGGAACACGATCAGGCCACAGATTTTTACCAAAACATCAAACATGGTGAGTTTTGTATTGTTTGGGGTTTCATATCCCAATTTTTACACAGACCTAAATCAAGCCTTTTACTCACTTTGACTTGCTTTACTGCAGGACATTTCAACAGTCAATCACTTAGGATATGACACATCCATAAAAGTAGATGATCTGGGAACCATGTTGCAAACACCACACAAAATTTCCACCATTTCATTATGCTTTTAGTGATTATGTCCCAGAAAAATTTTAATTTCAATGTTTATCATAACAATTATAAATAATATGTAAAAAGTACGGAAAGGAGTCAAATTCATCCCAGAAATAACTCCATGAACAAATTCAACCCATTATTTCATTTTAAACTCTGTCTCACTAAAAAGACTGGGCCAGAGTTTGTCTTTAATTATATTCAGTGATGTCAAAATGGTTATTGAAAACAGAATTTAACCTTCCCTCCCTTTTGTAAGCATTTATACCTAGCTATTTGTGAACCTTATATCTTGGTCCCTGGGTTTATGTCAGTGTATTTTAAATGTGTTATGTTGTTGAATACTTTTTTTTTAATGTTGCAAACACAGCTGCTCCAAGTTGGGACTTTACTGGGCCAATTTGAGCCTTCAATGAAATGTCCGAGTTGTTATAAATAGTACAGAATTAGGAGTTTATAATGGAAATGTCAGACTCTTCTTAATAGGTAGCACTAGAGGGGGTATTTCCGGTTATAACCAGAGGCAATAGAGTGAGAGGCACCGGGAGCCTGAGTACAGGGGAAAATATCCACATGCTTCAGGGCTAGAGTTAGGTGAAAATTTTCAGATGAATAGTTTATATGTTAAACAATGCAGTTTTGGTCAACCTGAAACTATTTGTGAATTTGACATGATTACCCCAAAACTTTGGGCCATTTTCCCCTCCGTGACAGCAGTGCTTCTTTAGTCCTGCGGTTCGAACACTAACTTGGGTCCCACCGGCTCTTCCCGATGTGGAGACAGGATCTGAACTTGGATTTCCCACTCTGTACAACAATGCCCTAACCACTGGACTATTCTGAGGTCAGGCTCTCTTATAGAAGCGGTTCCCCATTGGATAAATAACTACATAGTCACTGAAGCAGGGACTTGAACTTAAGTCTTCCACATCATAGGCAAGTACCCTTACCGCTAGACTGTATAGTCAATCACATTCTTTTTCCTTGGTCCAATGACTATTCATTGTCATTCATTGTGGCAATTCATAATAACTGTATTCAGGACATATACTAATCACTACATGAAGTCAGGAAGAAATATACCCATAGCATTATATGGCACCATTCACAATATAGTACACTTATTGGATGCTAAAAAGCACAGTATAGCAGAATCAAGTTCATTAATAGGGAAGAGTGCACTTTTTTAGCCATTAAGCTCTCGACACCTTTGTAGAGAAAACATGGGTTTATGGACTATTGGTGTAATTTGGCAGAGCAACTTTTATGAAATATATAGTTAGCTGGGTCCTCTTTTACTTCCTCTGAAGTAATAAAAGCAGGACAAGAAAACCCTGGTTCTTATTAACCAAATATATCCAAGTGAAAGAGATAACAGAGAAAAATATTTATAGGAAATAAAGGTTTATTTAAAGAACACTTTGGATCTGAATCCCAAACATGCCAGTACCAGAATTATAGTAACCTAGGTAAGTAAGTAAATTAACTGATTCTTGTCTGAGTTTTTGAAAGCCTTTGCGATTCATTACTAACTTTTAGCACTCAGCAGATGAGTGTCCAGTGATCAGCCACACACCATCCATCCATCTCCTCACTGATCATCCCCTACTAAAATGACCTTCCACTATTCCTTCCATAGCAACTTTCTTAAGGTTATTTCCATCTCCATGCCTAATGTGACCAAAGTACATAAGTTTGCATCTGTTTATTTCTGACATCAGGATCTGCTTCTCTCCAATAATATTTCTAACAGGCATTAGCCTTTGTGACAGTCTGTACTAGTATGTTCACTACTTTTACAAAC